ACAACAATCAACGAGATGGTTAATTTACTCAGAAAAAACAATGAATAACGCAGCTAAATTGAGTATTATTTACTTCTATCTGTTTCTGTTTTTTCTCATTTACAACAAAGAGATGTTTGGTTAAGAGAAATGGATTATTGCTACATGTTGTAAGAAAGAATTTGTTAGTCAGATGATGTCTCACTGGTTGGTCTATGTAGGCCAGAGTAAACTGCCCTTCGGAAAAGAGGATGGACACCGTCGGTTAATACCTCGGAATCCAATTTCTCAATTAGAGGCCATATCTGTTCAACACACAACAGAAATCATAAACAAATCCACTCAGAGAACAAGATTAAGAAACAATTCGTACTGACCTCAGAAGCATATGGCCGTGAAAATGCCTTGACATAGCCTAGCGTTGATAAACACCACTGCTCTTGTTCTCCTATATTATAAACATTGTTTACCCTCTCCCCATTTGATTGACTGCAATATTGATTAAAAGTTAGAATTAGTACATTGTTTTCTGGATAGTGAGGTGACAATTACGTGAATGAAACCGCATGGAAAGCGGAGGGGCACATTATTGTAACAAGTAATAGCAGGATCATTATGACCTTTTCTTTGGTCCTCCATTATCGTTGTCAACCACCATAGTAGATGATTCTTCAAGGTCAACAGCCATTGAATCTGAATTGATAGACTTCAAGTCCTGCAGTGTTCCAACTTTGGATGCATCAGGAAGGCGTTCTGCCAATACGTTGGAGAAGTTTCTGTATAGAGAGAGGAATAGCTCCTGCACATTCAGAAAAGTAGAATTAGAAAAACATAGAAACATGAATTTGATTGGATTCATTGGAAAGAGATTATTTTGGAATAGTAATGTTGAAAAAAAAAAAAGAAAAAGGAAGAAAACATGCCAACAAGTTGCAAAATTCATAAAATATCCTCTAAGCCATCTGAACTCATCAAATTAGATTAGCTATTATCAACTATACATTGAGTACTGAAAATGTCATTTGGATAAAAATGTAGGGTTATTGGCTAAAAATAACAATGTAGGGTTTGGTTGCTAGCTCATAGCCATAAGGCCTAAAACCATTCATTCTTAATCCTTAGGTGGAGCAGTAACATTCAAGGGACATAAACATGTATCCAGATAAAGGAAACTGATTCTTAGCACCAAGCCTCCAAAATCATTTATGATTGAATATGTGAATAAAACTAGGCAGGACTCCATGGGCAGAAGTTTACCAGAAATTTTAATGCCAGACAAATTGAAGATGTTGTATGCAAGAGGGAAGGGGTGGGGCCAAAAGAAGAGGATATGAGAGTCAATTCTATATCAAATACCTCATTTTCAGTGAGGGCTCGGGCAAGAAGAGCCTCCTTTGCATCTAAAGAGTCAAGCATGGATACCTCCTCTTCCTCAGTTTTTTCAGCATGTGATTTCAAATGCTTTAATCTCACAGGGTTTTCACCAAGAACAGGTTCACCATCCACAAGAGTAAGCTTTGACTCAGCAGCCTCTAACTCTGCTTTTGCCTGTGCTGTAGCTCTTTCAGCTGATACAAGGCTCTTCTTAAGAGATGATATCTCTTTCCTCAGATCAGAGATACGATTAAATGTCTTACTGACTGCATTCCTAAGAATCTGTGGAGATTATGGGTTTAAAAATTTCAAATACAGTTTGCCACACCTTTAGGTGCCAACAAAAAGAAAAAGGCAGAAATGAGAACAATGTTATACTCTTTTCAGGCTTGTTAGATAGACAATAAATTAAATATTCAACTGCACTTTGTCCTTAATACCCCATGAAGTCTGAAAGTTTTTCAGTTTCAATGCCAAAAGTTTATTTTGGTGAGAAGAATGCCAAAAGTAATTTATGTTAGATAAGAAATTGCCAAAATGTTCAAGTTTCTGTCAACTTCAAAAACGGTTGCCTTGTCGTCACTTCTATTTTTTTACTAATGGATTTGAAATTATGTTACTAATTGCAGTAAAAGCTCCAAATCATAAGTATCAGCAAGCAGAATAATATATGAAAGTAATTGAATAACCAATGTACCTCCCATGGACAGTCTGATGTATGAAATTGTTCAATGTTTGTTGGAGAGAAGACCCATCTCACAATGGCCAAATTTGATATAAGACGATATCCCATCATCCTATCAATTGCTATGGCAGTCATCTGGGCATTGTTCTTCCAGAAAGAACTCACTTCAGAAATAAGCATGGCTTGCTTATCATGGTCAGGGCATATTTTTGCAATCATTTGCCCATTTCTCTCCAAGACAGTGATCAAATGAGTGAAACTTTTAGAACCAATGTCAAGAAGAGTTTGTACAACAATACTGAGGGTAACTTCCAGACCATGAACAGGAAATATACTTTCTTCAACCCAGGAAATTATTTCACGTGCAGTTGACCTTCCTTTCACCTTGTTGTTGAGTTCA